CTTCTTTACCAAGTACTGCCATGTTGGCTTTCAGTTCGTGCATTCTAGATTCTGCTGCATGCAGCTTTGCTACATTTTCTGGTATAGGAGATTCCCTTACCCGTGCTTGTCTTCTAGAAACTTCTACCACCTATGCATATGGTTTGGTTAACTAAATTATGGTGTTATATTATAACGACCGCAGAATAGGAGATGATTTACATAGGTCCAAGCCCAAAGCAAACTTTTTGATTCTCACTAATGATTACCTGTGCCTCTGCATCTTGTCTCATTTTACTGTAACGTTGAGCAAGATGACGAGCATCTTCAAGAGGAGAACCACCTATCATTGCCCTCAGGGGTTCTAACACCTAAAATGGCATTTTGGAAATTATCAAATTTAACTAGTCAAATAGAAAAAAAATTCAAAAATTCAACAATGTTAACTGTTAAACCATTACCAAAAAGGACATGCAGTGCTGCATCACACAACAATCAATAGTATGTTCATACATCAGATATTATTGCAGAGGATTAATGATTAAAAGGGAAAAATCTTCCAAGAATTGCATATCATGAGAATTAAAATACAAATGGACTATGACATAGCGTTCTCAGGAACAAAACCAATTTCTGGATGTAACCACATAAAATTGCCTGCAAGCAAATGAGGTCATTCTCCATGATATCTGATATGTAACTTTTATTCGCCATCCCAACATTAGTCTGGTTGAAGCTTTTTGCTCAATGTTTTTCTCTACTTCAGTGTTGCAATGTTAGTATCCAACCCAAACAACTGAGAATTTTAAAACCTAAACTAAACTATGTAAAATGACTACTTTCAATTCAAGTATTACTAAATTGTGTACAGGCAAACCCCGCATAGATACTACTAAATTATGTAACTCAAAAATATAAAATACAAAAATAAATAAGCAATGGCAATCAGACGAGGTACAAGCAACAATTTCACCTGTATACTAATACGCATTGCCTGAAATAAGTTCCTCAATCAAAATATTTCGAATATACCTCCGACCACCAAGCAAGAGATTGTGGTCTATGAACATGTTATAAAAGAACTATAAAACCGACCTGGTTAAGCAACAGTATGTTCAGATCTTCATGTTCCTTCTCCACATGTTTACGTGCCTCACCGTATATGGATGCAGCCTTAGATAGAATCTGATCATGGGCATTTTCAACCCCATATTTGGAACAATCTTCTGATAACTTTTTTCCTGAATAGCATAACACTACAGAGCATTAACATAAATGTACATGCTGAGCACTTTACGAAGTTAATCTCCTGCCAACAATTTAAAGGCTCGTGTAAGTTAACATCAGAAATTATCTATACTCACCGGCTTCTATGTGTTTATACCCTACAGCACTGAATGCTTCAGCTGCTTTGACAAGTTCTTTCTGAAAAACCTGCATAAGGAAATATGAAGCTCATTAGTACCTGAGATTATCTTTCATCGATAATTATCACCAGGCTCGAATGATTTACAACAAAAATTAAGATTGTATTAACATATTACACAAGGAAGCTTGAACAAAAATCATTAACTTCAACAATCACTACATCACCCTTTAATATCTCAAATATTTATATACAAGACTGCATAACCTTAGAACAGAAATATTATTAACTGTGTACACCGACGCTTTAACTAGACTGGTGTGTTCGTGTCCGTGTCCGACGCATGTTGTATCTCAAATACCGACACTCATCATACACTCTGCCATAATCATTTTTCTTCCTTTAGTAGCAGTAATATATAGTTTTAACTCATAGAAATTATAATATAACTAATCGGTAGTCTTAATCAAAAGATTTCAACAAGAAAAATTAATAACAAATGTAAAACTAAAATTATACTATACAAATGAAGAATTTTACAAATCGCACAGTAGAATAGTGAAAAGATGCTTTAAATAATATGTGCACGCGTATAGCAGCTGAAGTGGATCAAACAACACTTCAAGGAAATTATGCATTCATAAATAACAGTAGTAAAATAGTTACCCTTCCAGAGCGAGTAGACCGGTACAACTTCTCCAACTGGTGATGCGTTTGCATCTCAATCTCATCAATAACCATAACCTCCGAGCTTTCATAGCCGCTCGCACTGAATTGCTTGATTACAGCCTTGAATTCACACAGCCCACATCAAGAATAACTCCAAAAATCGAAAATTCATAACAAATCATAGGTTATTGTATATGATAATTTACTCCATAATTCAAATCTATAAGTAAAAACGTAGAAGAAAATGGGACCTGTTGTTGTTTGGCGACTTGTTCTCTGAGTTTACTGGCTTGCTTCCTCAAAGCATCCATTGCTATATGTCACTCTGTCTGCGTGAGTGAGAAATCTTTTTTAACGGCAACAATGGATTTTCGATATACCGGTATTTGGAAAAAAACGTTGCTTCGATCTAAACCACGTTGTTTGTCAGATCTCAGGGTTTATTGAATTCAACATCACATCTCAGGGTTTATTCAATTCAACACCACAGCTCCCGAAATTTCCTCCTATCCCCTCCAAATATACGACTTTGAGATATTACGGGAGCGCGAATTCTAGAAACGTGATGTATGAAAATGCGACGTTGATTGTCAACAGTGGATTTTTGATATACCGGTATTTGGAAAAAACGTTGCTTCGATCTAAACCACGTTGTTGGTCAGATCTCAGGGTTTATTGAATTCAACATCGCATCTCAGGGTTTATTCAATTCAACACCACAGCTCCTGAAATTTCCTTCTATCCCCTCCAACTAACGACTTTGATATATTACGGGAGCGCGAATTCTAGAAACGTGATGTATGAAAATGCGACGTCGGTCCAAATTGGAGAAAATGAACAAAGAAAATGCTATTTTTGAAAAAGCATGACATGAAAATATCAATTGTAATATGACTATTTAACATTAGCTTACCCTAAGAGCTATAAATTTATTATGGTATTATCTAAATCATTTATTAAAG